GTGAAGAAATATTATGATAATATCATGAATTTCGAGTTAAGCAAATTGTGCAGAATAATAAGGGATTGTAGGAGAAATTGCTCCGAATAGTAAATTGAATGGAAATAAATCAAACTGAAATGAATCAAATTTGATCGCTTTTTTTCGTAGCAAAATTAGAATAAAAATCTATTCTACAGTTGGAAAAAAAAGTGTTCTTTCAGCAGCACTGAAAAAAAATAAGCATTGAAATAATAACTAAATTCAACTGTAAAGTTCTTGATCGATGTCTCGTATTGAACCAGCTTCTAGCCGGTATGTCTCGTGTTGAACCAGCTTCTAGCCGGTATGTCTCGTATTGAACCAGCTTCTAGCCGGTATGTCTCGTATTGAACCAGCTTCTAGCCGGTATGTCTCGTATTGAACCAGCTTCTAGCCGGTATGTCTCATATTGAACCAATATGCATGGATATTGGATTTGAATCAAGGTGTCAATATTTGAGCACAAATTATCTGATCTTACAATATTTTTTTGTTCTTTTTTTTTTTTTTTCTGAATTTCTGCTAATTTTTGTCATTCATTATAAAATTGTTTCAATATGAAATTTTTAATCAATTTTAGATGCTATGTTATATAGTAATGGAATATATAATCAGTTGTGGGCAAAATTAATTGAGAAGTCTTTCTTGCAAATAATCGAGAATAGAATATTAATCGTCTACTTCAAGGGATATTAGTAGAATAGCAAAAGGAGGAAATATCCTTTGGATAGTTTAAAGTAGTAGAAACAGATCAAATATACATACATATCATGAAGAGCTAATCTATGAAGGGAATCACATCAATGATAAACTAAACAATTTTGCAGTGCAGTCAAGAGTACATTTACTACATCTGAAATATTTATTTGAAACTCTATTTTTCTATAAAAAGATGGAACAGGTGTTAAACTTTATACTGATAATATAAATACAATATCACTTTTCTTCATAATTATTTTTTCCTTTCAATCATCTATGATTTCAATTTGACCATTTCTTCATTGTCTAAACATGTTATCTGTTATCAAAGATACATAATCAATGCATGAATTATTGTCATTTTTTACCCTTCAAAAAAACGATGTCACACTAACTAGAAAATACTAGAATTTGTGTCACAGTTCTCTATTATTTAATTTAATATGTCATAATTACTTTTCTAGAAAGATATTATTTATAAGTCAGTGATAGATGCTACACTCATTACTTTCTTACCAAAGTATTTTTATAAATTTGAGCCATTACACTTAATTTTTACACATTCAGGGACATTTGTCATATTTGTTTATTTCAATTAGTCATACACTTTCTTCTTTCATCTGATAAGTTTGCAAGAATGAGACGAGAACTGATAAGATTTGCGGCATAATATGTTGATAAAATAAATTCCTCATGGCGTACGCAGAAAATGACAACTGTTTGCAAATAGATTAGAATTCAATTTTTACTTTATCTTTTTTTTTCTTTCTTTTTTTTCTTTGCTTTGAAAAATTTCTTGATAATTCTGGAATATTTGATAGATAAAATATATGATAATATTGAAGTAACAGTAATTTAAGATTACGTTTTCACGTAAGATTGCTATACGTCAAAAAAACGTGTATAGAATGCGGAAAAAAAAATTTGAATTCAAAGATTGATTGCAAATGTGATTACTTTAGCTTCTTTAATTAGCATTTTTAGTTTTTAGACGAATATCTCTAAATGAAAAGTTTAATGCAGTAGGAAGATAATTTTCCAAATGAAATACTTATGAATAAATAATCAAACTTTTGAAGTTTAATTAATTTAGAACGATGAGCAATTTTAATAAACCACAGATTTGTCACCATTATTGAAACTGCACAAGTCATTCTCGAACTTTCCATGTGCTAGTTCAACCTTTTTTTTTTTTTTTTATTTTATGGGCAAATTATCATCTACAGGGTATCTCATTAGAAAATTCCAAATTTTAATTTTTTTATTTTCGAAATATTCCTTTAAAACCAGTTATTATTCTCGTGAAAAAAAAAAAAAAAAAAAAACTATAAGTATCTAACCGAGATAACAATTAATCAACTGAAAATATTAATTAAATTAATTAATAGAAGTAAGTATTGAAGGATAAAATTTAATTGGATAAGAGGAAAAATTAAATCAATGTTCGATTGATAATTGATGAAAAAATCTAACGATGCTGTCATGGTGAAAGATATTTGTTAACATCAAAAAATATTTCTACTTCTGATAAGATCACAGATTGAAATTGTTTCATTGTTGTTAAAGGATTTTAAAACCGATATCTATTTTAATTGCAATAACTGAAATAACAAAAAAAAAAAAATTCAATATTGAATTAATTAAGAAAATTTTAATAAATAAAATAATATATAATCACATTTTATGCACCAAAATTTTTTTATTCGCACAATAATTTTAAAATTGTAACTATTAGTGAAAAGTTCCGATATTTTTGTTATGACAAAAATTAAACAGTAATATAGAATTAAATTGTAGAGAAAAAAAAAAGTGACTTTGAAATTTAAATTAAAGTTTGCACTTCAAAAAATTTCAAATATTTTATAGTAACTTAAGGAATGAATGAATATATTTGATTAGGATATTTACTGAAAAGTATTACTTAAACAAAAAAAAAACAGAATTAAGGGAAATTTTCTCCAAATTCAATAAATCTAATTTGTTATGATTGTCATTTTAAAGCATTTTTATGGAAACTATTTTACGGAATTTAAAATAAAAATTATTTATGAATTATTCATTCTAAGAAATTTTTTTTTTTTTTTTTTTTATATGCTATCGGTTGGTTTATTTATTCTCAATGATGAAGGAATTCCTTTTTTTTTTTTTTTTTTTTTCTTTTTTCATTTGTTTTTCAAATATATTTAGTATAGTTTCTGTTTTTTTTTTTTTTTTTTTTTTTTTCAATATTTATATTTCACTGTATTGAAAAATATCATTTTTGAAAATTCATTTTCTTTCCTTTTTTTTTTTTTTTTTTTTTTTTTTACCATTTCTAAAATTTTTATCAAAATGTTGAATTTACTGAAAGTTGCACATTCTGGAAAATGCTATCAAATATTTTGAATATTTGCATGTGATTACATTTAAATAGGCAAAGTCACTTACATTCATCCAATATATTATCATAAAATATTTGTCATTGATTTGATTTGAAAAAGAAAAATATCATTTGCAGATCATAACTGTAACACATTCTCTAATTTAATATAACAATTTTTTTTTTTTTTTTTTTCCTACGTTAAATTTTGAATTTGTAATTTTTTTTTTCCAAATTTTAAAATTATATTAATTTCAAAAAATACAATAGGAAAATTTTATGATTTAATCATTATAATTCATTTTTTATTTGTGATAGGATTTAATGTAAAATAATTTAATATTAAAAATGTTAGATAAGTGAAATAAATTCTATAACATTGCTTCATTTTACTCATAATAATAGATAATGCATTCATTATTTTGCAATGAAAATATACTATAAATGAAATAAATATAGGATTAGTCAAAGAGAGAGAGAGAGAGAGAAAGAGAGAGAGAGAGCGAGAGAGAGAGATGATAATGATGATGATCGACTAGGCTATGGCCAAGTTTATTGGCCTAGATTGCACAAATTTGCTTCTTCTTTCTTTTTTTCTCTTGGAAAATTGCATTAGAAATGTATTTTGTTTCTTGCATAACACAATGATAGATGATTATTTATAAAAAAAAAAATATCAATAATTCTTCTCTGATAATCTTTCTAATATTATGTAATAGATAATATCATAATATTATGATCAATATGAAAGTGATAAATGATATAATGATAATGATAAGATAATGATAAGATAATATCATAATGTTATGATTGATATGAAAGTGATAAGTGATACAATGATAAGATGAAAATTATGCAAAAGAAAGCAAAGAAAAATTATCCAAAATAAGAAATTTATCATCATTTCCTTTGTATATTGATGTTATTTTTCTGCTATTCACTATACTTTTCCACCTCTCTCTCTCTCTCCCTCCCTCTCTCTCTCTCTCTCTTATAAATCTATTCAGTCCCTCATTCTTCTCAATTTATCAAATTGCTAATAGAAGTAGTATGGCACTCTTTCTTCTAAACATTACTTTTAGAAGTAAACTAAACGGTAATGTCAATGTGATTATCATTTTAATCATCACTATCACCTAACATTTATCACTATCACTAACTTTTATTGATCACTGATAAGATAAATGTTTAATTACAGGTAATCTTATCTTAGGTAGTTTTTTTTTTTCCTTTATTATAATTTTCTCTTTTCATTTCCATATTTACATAATAAATTAACATATATCAATAATATTTGTGAAAGAGAAAAATTTTTGAAATATTTAAATTACTGAATGGATTTGTTTACCTGTAGAGAGAAATTGAAATAATATCAATGAATGGCAGTGATTGTTGCTTCATTGTAAAAATGATTTAACTGTATTTAGTGATAAGATAAGGTATAATTAATTACAGTATTGGCTGTACTAACTTGAACTGAGGTCAGAGTTCAACTGTTGACTGATTGATTCAGGACATTCGTGAAATGTAATTATTGTCTGTATCAGTCAACTTGCTTGTTTCATAGAGGAAAGGACCTAAGATCTAAGATCGTGCAGTGTGACTTGCTGCATGCATGCATGCATGCGCACCTTTGCATGCAATGTGATGCTTAATGCAAAAAAAAAAAAAAGAAAATGAAGAAACAGTTGTTGATCACAATGTTTTCCAGCATTACTTGTTTCGGTGAAAGGGAAGTAATAGACAAATGTGAGTGTGTAAATGAGTGGGAGTGTCGAGATAGTGCAGATAATAGGGAATAGGAATAAGGTCTACTCATAGTTTTCGTGTGAATTAGAGAGAAAAACATTTCGGAGTGTAGACGAGAGATAGTCAATTTTTTTGTTGGCGTGAGTGACATACTGTTGAAGTGAGCAAGGAGATGGAAGAGAGAGGCATACAGACAGAGAACATACCACCTGACGGACGGACAAGAGGTTAGTCGGCAGAGAGGCAGAGGGAGAGAATTTGAATTCAGCAATCAGACGATGGACGACGCCGTCTTTTGAGGTTGTGATGCTCGCTCATTCCGTCTGAGGGATTGGGAGGGTGGGGGAGGGGGGGTAATGGGTAGTCTCGAGGGTAAGTCTCGAGGGTTGCAATGGTACATATGGTTTTTTTCTATTAGATGTCATATGGGCGAATATTTTTGCAATATTTTGCATGGTTATAAGTCTCTGAAAATGTGTACATTTGAAGGGATAGAGGTGGTTCGAGGAGGGGTCAGACGTCACTAAAGGTCATAGTATCGTGTCAACAAACAAGAAGAACAGAGGAAGAGGTGAACGAGTAATTATAGGAGAAAGACGGTGGAGCAGACTGGATGAACCGCAAGCGGCAGCCTGTTGCCCTGAACGTTACAGTCGACCCGATCTGCACGAGTACGAACGGCAGCTGCAGCTGCAGCACTCAACAACTCCTATATCGTATCAACGCGATTGCCAACAACGACAATTTCATTCAAAGGAGATTTCCTCGTGCGATTCGAAGAAAGAGACTACGGGAGAGATTGGATGCGACAGTTGCACTCCCGCAGCTGCTACATTTAGCAAACAAAAACTGGAAAAATTGTCGCAACGTCAACGAAGTTCAATTTTTGCAATTGCGAGGTTAGTTGCTTCTTCAATTCTTCCTATTCTGTATTTGCATCCATTTATAATGTCATAACAGTGTGTTTGTTTCCCTTTGATGGATAAAGTTAACTTAATTCCTTAAAATGGACTTCTTTTCAATGACTGCTATTATTTAAAGTTACCAGTATTTTCTTCCAAATAATCGAGAAACTAATGTAAGGAATATTACCATTTTTACATTTTGATATAAGCTAGAAATGAGAAAAACATTGGTTGACTTTCTGAGTAGACTTTAGGAACTAGCTTAATAATGGGCATCAGTTGCTCGAAATATTCTCAAAAGCATTGGATGCAAATCATAGTTTAATTAAAAAGAATATTTAGTGCAAGTTTATCTGCAATATTTCATGGAAAAATCTTATTGCAAAAAGATAACTGATTATCATGGATAACTATTCACAAGGTTTCATTTGATCGGACTTGTTTATGGTTCGAATGATCTGTTGAGAAACGTGCTTGGATTCATTCTCGACATGCTTGAACCCTCCAAGAATGCATCACACTACGTGTTAGCATCATCCAGCTGTTACGCTTCCTCTCGCTACTGTAGCGTATTTTCTCAGTCTACGTTACTCTTTAATCCTTAACTATGAGAGAAGTTCATAATGGGCTCAAAAATTGACCAATATTTTCGTGTAATTATTGTTCTTTTTTTTATTCATAATTACTGATCTCCTCACTTATTATAGGGCAAAGTTGAGTTCTTTTGTCAGTCGACTAAGTATAAGTAGTGGAGCGGGATGTGCAACAACACGGACTCTAACTAGCACCAGCAACATCACTACTGCCAACAACAGTGATTTGTCATCTGTCATCTCATTCCCTTTACGACAAAATTCCCACCAGAATATCATTCAGGCGAATCCGCATTCCGCTACAGCCGTGTCAGTTGCAGCACCTGCATTATTATCATCATCAGTACAAGCAAATACTTCACTTCCTACTGTCACGGTATTTTCAAATTCTGATATTTCTGATTCCTGCCACAACACTGGTAGCACTACTTTGCAAAAAGAGCTACACTTGATAAAATCACCGGTAAAAACGTTTACTTTACCAAGTGACGGTAACGAATATTTGTACCACTTGCAAAAGCAGAAACCAACAACTTCTTCAGCATCTTGCAGCTTTTTCCAGCATACTAATTATCCAGCAGCTGTTTTCCTGACCGACGGTGAAAAGAGTTTTTTTCGCACGGTATGGTAACTTTTTTCTGTTGATTTTTAAGCCGCTTTTCAGTGATAACTATTGTATTAAAGATTAATTTAAGTACAAAAATGAGACTTTCCTGTACCTCAGGGCATACCAAAACCCACTGTTTCATCCTTCACTAGGCACATATTTTGTAGTTAACATGGCAGTAATTTTGTTTGAATCTGATAAGCTAAAAATTCTCTTTGTGCCTTTAAGCAATTCACTGTTCTTTTATTCCTTTAAGCAATTGTTCTTCATTTGTGTTTTATCCATTATTCTTAGATTTGATCTAACAAGCATTTCTCTCTGATAACATTTCCTTCATTTTATGCAGGTTGCAAAAGTATTGTAATTTTCGTCCAATAATTGGCTTGTTTATTTTGTTTTCTCACTATTGAATCGAAATTTTTCGACTTTGTAATAAGGTTTTTTTTTTCCTTTAGGAATGACAATCATTTTAAAATTCTTTGATGGCAAGAATTAAGTTTAGCTCATGCTCTTTTTTTTTTTTTTTCATGAATAACTAAAAATTGTTGAATAAGGTCGAACATTCCTGTAGCTGAATCGATTCACCAAATTATAAACATCGTTTAGTACTGCCATGATTGCAGTTGAGAGCAGTAATGTTATGTCTACTCCTTTCCTCATTTATTTGTTCACTTTGCAATCCTCCAATTTCATCGCTCACATAAAGATTATCAGACATTACATTTGCGTTAGTTACAAAAGTAATTTTGCACTGAAAATAATTTTATTAGATTTATTCAGCATTCATCTCAGGTCAGTGATGTGACCACACGTCAACTTATCCGCACGCGAATCTTCTCGTTTCCAAAAGGATTATCATGTTAACTATTAAGTCATTTTTTCCATTGTACTCTTTGTTAGATTCCATTGGATAGAACATTTTCGGTGAAGTTATTCCAGAAGGAGTAGAACAGCACTTATATCGTCTTATCGTCTGGTGATTTATAGACGGCTGAAAATTTTTTTCGTTTGTAACTAGAAAAAGAGACCAGACATCTCGTCATAAATATTGGAAGAGGTGAGAAGGCAGAAAATGGGATGAATCTTTCATAAAAACGGCGACAGGAAGACCTGTAGTCGTCTTTCCTTCCGTTTTTCTATATTTTTCCTACATTTTTCATCCATTCTTTCATCTGTGGTTTGTTGGTGGAGTGAAGAAAAAATTGCCTTATTATTAAAGAAAATGTATAAAATTTACGGTTCTAAATATTGTGTAGTGATTCATCCCTACACTGTTGACAGAATTTGAATGCATCTAGACGATAAAACGAATAGATTTTTGATTTCCAGACTAACAAATTTGAGCAACATTTGAATCTAAAACTTAAAGCAAAATGGATTGAAGTAACTATTTTATCAGCTAACTAACAGCGAACGTGAAAAATCGTATATTAAAGTACTGGAAAAGAATGCTTGATTTATTTATCTAAAATATAGGGAAAATTATAGACATATCTGTATTAGAATGAGGAAAACAGCAAAAAAACAAGGAAAAAAGGAACCATTTTCTCGACATTATCTGATTGTTGCTGATTTTCTGTGATAGCATATGTATAGGTCGGTTTTTGTTTGAAGTAGATTGCTTAAAGCTTTATGATTCATTTCTTCCTTCCTCGTGACATTTCCTTCCAAGAATATTGATTGTTTGTTTATTACTTATAAAATATATTTTAAGATGCTAAAAAATTGCTTCATTCTTCATCGTTCCAGGGTAAACGCTTCCTATTCATTGTTTAGGAAGTCATTGTTCTTTTACATCAGCAGACAAGATGATGGCAAATAAGGAACAGATGGAATTCATTAGGCGCTTCTTTGCAGTATTTCATTGCATGTAAAATGTGTAGAAATAAATAGTTGGACTTATAATTCATTTTTGTTTTTTTTTTTTTTTTCATTCCCTATTATTTTTATTTGCTTGAAAATCATTTATACCATATTTTTCTCTTTCTTTTTTTTTTTCTGGACCGGATGTTGTGAGTTTCTGATATCTTAGATAATTGTTTGATTTGAAAAATGAAATGTATTTTGGAGGGAAGAAGAGGGTTATTTTAAAAATGGCTAGCTGTCGGTTTCTATTTTGTTGATCCTTGCATGAGTGTAGCGGCATTATCATCAAATTATTCACCCGAATTTTTCAACCCCTCTTTTTACGAGCTTTTCGTTCTCCGTTTTCATTCTTAATTATATATTTGTATTGCAAATGGAAATAGAAGCTGTAAATTTAGCTGATAAGACAGACAGTTTGAATGGCAGACGATGTGGACAGCATATAATGATTATACGTTGCATCCCGTCAAGATACATTAATGAACACCATTAGTTTTTCTTTTCGTTAGAAATTTTTCATGTAAACAAAATTTTGCAAAAATATTTTAACATCATTTTTTTTTCTTTTTCAAAAAAGTGAGAACTGTCTGCGAGATTTTTTTCCTTAGTCGTAAGGATTAGTCTAAGGTAAGAGAGAAAGTAAGAATAGCTGATGAGTCAAGGATTTTGAAGTCTACGATGAGTCAGCAGTGATTTAGCAGTTTTGATTCATAAGCATATCGAAAACAAAAGAAAGAAAAGAAAAACAGAAAAAAACAAAGGCAATTAAATAGAAGCAGACGAATATAACATCTATGAAACACAAATTGAAGACTAAAATTTGCAAACAAAAATTCCAAAAGACTTTTGGGAGCATTATTTATTTGGCATAACCTATAGTGAGCATATCAGAAGCTCTGTGGAAATTTTTCGTGGACTACTGTTTTTTTTTTTTCAATTTCAGGAACGTTTGGTACCGAAGGAAGAGAATGAAAGGTGGATTCGAGCACCGCCTAATTGTAACCCATTCGATATGCGTGCATCATTCACGTGCTCCTCATTATCATGTCGAGTTCCAGTTACTGAGGCTACTTATGGACGTAGTAGGCTTAATACGGCGACCGGTATTGAACGACCAAATTCTGGTGGTAGTGCAGCGATGACTGTTCGAGGTAATAGATGTCATAGTCGGAAGTGTACCGAACAGGTTCGAAGTAATGACAGCTTACTGACAGACTGTCGACAGCATGAAGATGGTTGTTTCTCGTCACATTTACGATGGCTTTCAATGAAAGAATTTAATGAGAATCGTTCACAATTTGATTCACGTCCGGTTGTTTATGTTCCAGTACTTTGCGAAACAGTTTGTGATACAAATACTCATTGTGCCGTTACAAGCAATATGAAAAATGATGATAGTAATAATCATATCAGCAAACCTTCATCATCATCACCGTCACCATCATCCTCATCATTGTTACAGCAAACATCTACTACCACTTCCCCTGCTAAGTCTACATTTGCATCTGCTAATAATGTAGATATTGTTGTTAGTGGTTGTACATTAATTCCAATGAATCATAGTACGGATATGATTACACATCGATCGATGAGCACGAAATCTGAAGAGGAGGAGGAAAAGGTTGAAAAAATAAAGGATGAAATTATCACGGGTCTCTCATCTCAATTAGTACTTCTTTTGTTTGTGTAGTAACGGAGGGTTGTGGAAAGGTATGGAAATAATAAGCATAGAATAGCAACTGAAGCCACCCTTCCAAAAAAATGGATCTGTTGGAATTTCTAATTTTCAAGATCGTATAGAACCCAAGGGAAGAAAAAAAATGTAAAGGCCTCTTTAATGTAGGTGTATGGAAGATGGAACAAAGTTCTTGTATTGTTTTAAATAAACGTGTTTGTTTGTTTCGATATTGTTTAAAAATTGGCAAATGAAAGGTTAAAACAAAAAACAGCAAAAGATAGTGGAATTTATTCAATGGAAATCTCATTCCTTGTCCATCCTTCATTTGGTATTTATTTAAAAAAGACATCATTTAATTGATTTATTGAAAAACATCATTAAGCAGCACTGTTTTTTCTGTCTTATTTCTTCTGTTTCCTCTCTACCTTTACTCTCTCTCTCTCTTGTCTAGAAATTTATTCTTACTTTTCATTATTTAGATTTAGTTTACACTAGTTTTTATTTGCATGTTTCAAATTGACAAATTTATTTGTAAAAATACATGACATATATAAACATATACATATATGTCATGTATATTATATATTTATGTTGTGTTGTTGAATATTAGCATTTTTGAAGTGTAAGAAAGAATTATACACCGTTTCAAAACACACACGTTTCATTTGCGGAATAAGATTTGGAAATTGTATTTTTTTTTTTCTTCATCGATTAAGATGTGAAACATCATTTAGGCTAAATGGATTTACTCCAAGATGAAAGCATGATTAATTGCTACTTTTTAGTGGATGCTTATTGCAGCGAGAGAAATATAAGCATGAATTAAGAGCATATTGTGATAATAGATTGTGAAAAATCTATCGTAGCAATTTACTATATGGAATTTGAATTATTGATCAGGTAAGCATCTTAAATTTGCTTATCTGTAGGAAAAAATTTCCTATGCTGGATGAATTACTGCATTTTATTCGCTAAAATAGTTTGACGAAATTAAAACATACAAAGATATTCTGTTGGGTCGTTGTTTATATAATGCATACAAAATCATTAAATGTTTGAAATAAAATTGACTAAGATTTATTCTATATGAAATGTATAGATTAGATATAGATGGTTGTTACTGCTGATGCTGATATCCATGCAAAATTTTGATTGAGTCCAAAAATAATTTCTTTTTTTTTTTTTTTGTATGTATGTGTGTGTGTGTGTGTGTCTGCTAAGCAACAATAATTGTGTTGGCAAGTATTGGCATTTTTTCGGTCTGTCGAGCGCAATCAGGAAAATTACATCGTAGTTTCTGAAATCATCAGACAAAAGAACTAAAGTACAAATTTATGTTGAAGGGGACGATTTCAGCAATCGTTTGTTTGTGGCAAGATTTGGTTTCTTAGACTCATAGAATAGCAGTTCTCTTTGTTATTGTCTAGGGACAATATCTATAAAAAAAAAAACATTAAATTAACATTAATAAGTAAAAAAGAGTACAGAGTTAAAGGTCTATTTTCATAATGTAGGATAGAGAATGATAAAATCGATCGTTAGCATCATATACCAGTTAATAGTAATAGTAAATTGAAGATAAAGTGGGAAAGAGGAAAAAAAGATATAAGTTAAAATATTTGTTGGATTTTAGCTGCTGCAAATTTTAGATATTTTTTTATATAAAATTTAGATTCGCATTCTCAATCATTCGAAATTTGCAAATTTCCAATCTTCTTCGAAAATAAACCACAATCGTCTTGTAAATGAAGACAAAAGAAGCTTTTGAGACGACATTAATAAATTTTAATAAATGAAATACATACACATAAATAGCGATTGCAAAGTTATAAATTCAAGGTGAAAGTTCAAGTAAGTAAACAATTCTTTCCGAGAGAGAGAGAGGTAGAGAGAGAGGGAGGGAGGGAAGCAAATGGTATACTTATATTTTAAGCCTTTATCCTGTCCTGGCCTCATCCCACATCTCTCCCTATCTTGGCTATCGCTTCATGCAGTTACGGTAGCGTTTTCGTTGTGAGACCACTTTGAGGAGTATTGATCATTGGAGTGAAAAGATGCGGCGGCTAAGGGATGATTTGAATTCAAGATTGGATGATAGGAAGAGCGAAGATGAGGCGGCAATGGTCTCTGGGGCGGTAATGGTAATGGTAATGGTCATAATGGAGGATAGATGAGAGTTGAATATTTGTTAGATTAACTTCTCGAGAAGTTACACAAAATTTCTTTCAAATTTTATTGCTCATTTAATTTAGCATAAAAGGGAAAATTATTACATTTCAGGGAAATTCCCGCAGGATTTAAGATTTTTCCACTACTCTCTCTCTCTCTCTGTGTGTGTGTGTGTTATGTCTATCCAGAAGCCAAAACTAATTAATAAGTTACAGAAGAGTTCATAGCAATCTCATTCTTTTTTTTGCTTTGATTTTTAATTCTATTGATTTATGAAAAGTGTAACGCGTTTCTTTTTTTTTTTTTTTTTGATTGAAATTATAGTCAGTATTATCCATATATCTTTTCTGTTTGTTTATTACATATTACTATTTATTAAAAGTTTTAATTTCAAACATTGATAATGTAGCAAATTTAATCCAGAATAAGAATATTTCATATCGAAACTATTTTTTCTATTAGGTATTATTAGTGATAAGAAAAGAAGTTAAGCTCATTTTTATTTGTATCATAAATAATTTTAGTGGTGTAATTTACGAAGCAAAAAATATTCGGGCCAAAAGTGGAGTGTATCTTATGTGGAGTGTATCTTTATGTATTTTTGTAAAGATCTTTTTCAATATTTCTGTGGTAAATCGAGAATTTTCTTTTTCCTTCAGAAATGTCAGTCAGAAAAGTACGTACGAAAAGCAGGGCAGCAGAAGAAATGGTCTGTCCTGCTACATCATCACCGTCTGGTGGTCAAAAAAAAGTAGTGGAATACTTTCGGACCATTCATCGTGATTCAGCCAAGAAATTTAAACGTCTTAAGGTATTTACCGAAAATGATGAGGTTAGTAGATTATAAGCTGAAATTTTCTTTTGAAGATTACACAAAGACCAATAGGTTTTCTTTGTTGTTTAATATGGTTGAGAAACTGCGTGCAATCCGGAAGAAATCCCGGTATTAGCCATTAATATTGTTTGACAGTTTTAACAGTGTTTCAGAGCATTTTCTTCAGCTAAAATGTTTCCTTTCCATTATTTTTTTCCACTTAAGCTGCAGTTCTACATTGTACTATCTGCCGCATTTTTACAAAGAGTTATCATTATATCCTCTGTAGTCAAGGTGGATTTTGCATCTAAACAGTTGAATTTCTGGGTTGAAAATAATTTTTTGCAGACAAAAACTGTTAAACATACTTTGGAATCACCAAAAAAAGTGGCTCGTTTAAAATCACCGCAAATACCGGAAAAGGAAACTGACAGCGGTGATCAAGAATGGGTTTTGCCAGTGACATGTGAGACAGAGGTCGCCCAGAAGAGTAATAAGGTAAAGGAGAATGATAATGATGCTAAATCCAGTTCGGAACCTGCGGGAAGCAGCAAGATCTCTAGGTGTCCAAGAAAGGAAATGACAGAAACTGATTCAAAAGAAAAGCGGGAACAAATGTATGATGAAATTAAGCATGATTTGGTGAATGTTGCTTTTGCGGTACCCTGCGAAACTGAAACGAATAAAGAAGATAAAATTGATTTGGAGTTAGTTTTATTTTGAATATAATATTAGTTTTTCGTAACAGCTACTTTTCTTAACTTTATTTTTAACAGTCGTTACGCATGACACTTTACTCTAATATAAGCTATGTCATTTCGTATAAGACCATCTCCAGCTTAATTTTTGGTTAAAATATGTCAGATACTGTATGCTGTTGTTTATTTTATAAAAAATTGCATGTAATTTTTTAACCCATTTTAATGATGCAAGCTTTAGCATTTTACCGAGCGCAGTAAAATTGGTCGAAAGCATCAAAAACAGCACAGATTCGAGTGTAATTGATACATTTCCACTTCCTACAAAATATGAACGGTTACTACGCTTGTTCGATTACACAGAAATGGCAAGTTACTTTTTGAAAGTATTTTAAGAAAAATAAGCTAATTAAACAGAAAAGCTGTTTTAGTTTTGGACAAATCAATCTGATCAACCTTAATTTATTTGTCTACTTAGAAATTGTTAATCTGTGTAGTTTAAACAATTAATTGGTATGGCTCGAAATTTTTGGTTTCGTTTCAAATCTGAATTTATGCTTGTGTAATACTTGCAATAGAGATGGAGCATTTAAAAATGCTGTCAATAAAAAGTTCTTGCATGGTAGTAATAATATCAATGAGGCTAGATATGCATTTTCAGATTCCAGAATCAAGTTTTAGTCGATTTTAGGTTGTTTCTTGGCTAGAAACGCAAGGGAAACGAATTACATTGAATGAAGTGATGACTAATGTTCAGCGTCAATTGAAAAGGTATTCAATTGATCTGCATGTAAAAAGTGATTTGAATAATGAATAGATTTAAAATGATTCATACTGTATTTCTTGCAGTTAAAAAAGTTTCGATGTAGTTGGATGAATTTTTAGCAACTACGATGAGCAGCAGTTTGCAATGATGCTGTCGATATATCCTGAATCGTATAACATTCGATGTGAGCGACGTTGGATGCCGATTGGTGGCAGACATTGTAATCACAAAGAATATGAATATGTGATTGAACCAAATCTTGTCAACGGTAACATAATTTTTTCAATGTTAAATACTTAATCCTTCAAAATCAAGTTAAATAATCTTTCAAAAGTTTACGATTTCGAATGGAACTGAAATTGAACGTAAGAGCAAAATCATTTTTAGGAAGAAGGAATCACCATATTTTTCTTTTTGTTTTGCAGACCTTGTTCTTCCACAGAAAAAACATGTAAGAGAAACTTCTTCATCGAAATCTTCACCGGTCAAATCAACATTGGGTTCACCTTGCAAAGTTCCTTTAGTTTCACTTGCCCGGAATCCAATACCCTCGTCACCTAGAAGAGTTATAATGAAATCACCAACCAAATCACCCTCTGGATCAAATATGGTTACTAGGTATGTACTAGTTACTCCATAAACTCTTGTAAAAATGGAGTCAAGCATTTTGATTATAATAGGTATTGTAAGTCCGGTATAAATGCTGTATAATTTTACTGTACTCTATAATTTCTCTGCAGGTGTCCTCCAAAGTTAGAAAGTCGTCGCTTACATCGGAAACTGGAATTCAAAAGTCGTTTGCGCAAGCTGGTAAATATACAGCATGCTGCTTTTTTGAAGAATGAAGGAAGTTTGTTTTTGACTTGTCTTTCCAGCGTTTCTTTATGTAAATTGTATTCAGAAAGCCTTATGAGCTACGGAATCTTTATAATTGTAATAATTGGTTTTTCTTTAACGCTAAGTTAGTTTTCAGTGTTTGCCCGATGGTTAATTACATTTGTTCTGAATGATGTTTCAGTTGAAATTTCACCTGATGAACAACTTCCAAGATACCATCCGGATTTCGACCTTGACGCTGTGGTTGACATCACACCTGCGAAGTTACCTGAAATGCCGAAAGGTGATGCTGGTCAACCTGAAACGATGCGAGAATATTTGAAAGCAGTGCCTGATAGCAGTAGTACGCTTCCTGAAAAAATTAAGGTTCATTTTTACATTTACTGTTGTACAGCAATATTTTCAAAATTGATGATGTAATAATTCATCATCATTTGGTAATTTAATATTGAATGATTTCTAGATGGTGATCAAGGAACTCAGAAGTCCAGAAAAGAAAGTCGCTGTTGTTGCCGATAAATGCATACCGTTATCGCCGAAGAAATATGTAGAAACAAAGAACACTTCAAAACCAAGTCTCCTGGAAAGAGTATACATTTCATTATTTCTAAACTGGAATACACTCTGTTCAAAATTCCAATTAATCTAATCCAATCAAGTTATTAAGATTCGAGCCAAAGAACGAGAGCGGAAACGGCGAGAAATGATGCGAAATCCCGAGATGGAACAAAGAAAAGGAAGGTTGGAGAGGATTTCTCACTCGCTATTACAGTGCATTTGCAGGTCAATTAAATGTATTCTTCAAATTTTGTGAAAAAAGTTGAATTTTAGTACATTATCTATTTAATGTTGTTGCACGGGAAATACCATACGTTGTCTTCGAATCTTCATCACCTTAAGTTAGGGGGAAAAGAGAAAATTAAGGTTAATTTTTGCCGCGAACTTTGGAGATTTTCATTCAATTATCGTCGGATTTTTCCTACCTTCTCAAAATCTTGTTTGCCCACTCTTAATAGTAATTTTAATTTAATGACCCAAAAGATTAAGAGATTAACCTGTGGTCGTTCTATAATCAACTCATAATCAGCGCAAGAAATAGGAAGTAGTATTACTTAGGTCAATTATTTCTAGAAAATTGTCAAAGTGTGTTCATTATCATTAGTGTATATGATTGATGCGGTCTATTTCTTTCGTTCGTATATATCTTCGAAGAATTTAAGTAAGAGTCAGCAAGCAGAAAAACGAATATCTATGATCACATCATTCATTTAGAAATTCATAATTTTAGCTACTACAATTTGAAAAAAGTTGGATCAATGAAATTTGTGGAATTGATCGACAAATTGGCTTTCAGTATTGGCATTATTTCGAAAGGTATAAATTTACATTAATTTGTTAAATTTGTTTGACATAGTTTTAAATAGTTCCTAATGAACATGGTGATTTTGTGGAGGCATTTATTTTATTTCATAATTTCTCTTAAATTATGCTTAACTTATCCATTTTATTACTACTGATACTTTCTTTTTGTAGTGGAAATTGAAGCAGCTATTAATTTGCTCTGCGAAGTTTGTCCAACATATTTTAAAATAGTCGAAGTACGCGGTGAAAAATACATTCATTTGAAGGACAACAATTTTTCTGCCATCCGAGATATTGTAAATGTAGAGATCAAGAAATGTATTTAGTACGAAGATATTTGTGAGATCTTAAAATTAACAGGATGCTTCAGGCAATAAATTTCGGTTATCAAGATTTTGGTACAAAAACTTTCATTCTTTTTTTGGACCAGTGTCTCGTCATATCGATTACTTTAATATTGTCAACTCTGTGATGTTATCCTTATTACTCTTTCTATATCTTCTAACAGTTTCTCAGAAACCATGCTTCATTTTAATCGCATCTGTCGTTCGTTTCTATGTCCTGGAACTATAGTAGAACTGACATAGCACTGTACTCTGTATGAAATTCAAAACATTTATTTAAGAAGAAATCACAAGCTCATAAAATGTGTTCCTTCTTTTCAATTTTCTTGAAGAATTTGTGAGTGCAAAAACGAGGATAAGAAATGTTTTGTCAAGGGAATTTTCAAGCCAGATTGGATTAGCGCAGTATTTGTGTTGTTTATAGCATAGTGAATCGCATTGTTTTTATTCTCGATGGTTTTATCCTTCATGTAACGAAAACAAATTTACACTTCAAAATTTCAATACTTCAAAAAGTCGGTAAATTTAAGGTTTCTTTTTTTTTTTCCTTAACAGAGTATATGTTTCTTCTCTAAAAAAGTCTAAGAAATATTTCAAAATGAAACAGATGTATGGCTTATTTTTTGTACCTCTTTGGAAAACTGGTATATTTTTGTATGAGAGTCATTATGCACCACATGATGATTATTAGTAATAATTATTTTACTAAAAGAGGAACCCAAATGTATTGAGCTGAAGTCTGAAAGTTAAATTAAACATTCTCATATCTAAAGATTGTTCTGCAATTTATTACAAAAAAATATATCCTGGTCCTCCGTTGGCTGTTTTTTAGTACTTGCTTTAGCATTTTGATGCTTCTCACACTTTTACCAGTCTCTAAAGTGATAGAAATTTTGTGATTAATTGTGTTTTTCGTTATTCATTCAATTATCAGTAAATTTAAAGATGTTTTATTCAAAAGTTTTTTCTTTTTTTTTTTTTTTTTCTAGTTTTGTGTTTTTTCATATCACTGCTTTTTGCACTGTTTAATTTTTAATTGCTGTAATACTGTATTTGCTCGTATAGTAAGAATTTCATTGATTATTGCTTTAGCATTTATTTATTTTTTTCTCTTTTAAATTCTAGCTACATTATTAAGAGCTTTAATTTCAAAAAAATAAATTACTCGTTGCTGTTAGATTATTTTTTTCAATTCCAAGAATAAGAAATGCAATTTTAAATGCCAGTTTTAACTGTTGTACTGTACCATTATTGCATTTAGTAATCTCTTCAGTACAATTTTCTTCACCAACTGTCATTTTCTTTTAAGATCTCACTTGTTTTATCATCTTTCTTTTTTTTTTTTTTTTTTGCTAATTTGTTAATGGTTTTCTTGCCAATAATTTTTTATATGAAAAAAAAAAAAAAAAAATTTTATATCTTACTGTCATTCAATGTATTAAAAGCAGTATATAGTTATGAACTTTCATTCTCCTATTACCACTTTCATTTTACATAGAAGAAAACCGGTCATTGATTTTCTTTTATTTTATTCAAATTATTTTTGAACTTGTATTTTCAACAGCATTTTTAACTGCGATATATGAAAATTAATTACATGTATCATTCGTAAATAAGTTGAATCAATCTTTTTCTTTTTTAATACCATTTTTTACTGCTTATAAGGATCACTTCCTATTCCATACAATGCATTTATTGTATTTAATTTCTATTCATGTTATCAATATAAGCAATACAATTTACATTGCATCGACTCGAAATTCCATTTTCATTTTTTTCATTCTTCTCTTAATTTCATTTGTCAAAGTTCAATAATATATTCTTTTTAACATTGCATAGAGTATCATTTCATTAATTGGAGAGGTTATCTTAACGACGATAAACAAATTATTATTTTTTTTTTTTTAAATATCCTTAAGGAAATGAAAGAACGGACAATTTATTTTGATAATAGTAAATTAATACCACAGCTATTGTTTACAGATTCAATTATTCCTATCAAATATCCTATTCCAGTGAGTAAATGTAATTTCAATATTTTTTTATAAATCAAAAAAGTTCTCTTATTAAAATTATTCTCACTCAGTTTTACAGTTTTTTTTTTTTTTTTTTTTATTTTGAATGATTCATTTTTTATTACTTTATTCAATGATGTCCTGTTTTATAATATTGCATTTTTATGTTTTACATTTAACGTATATGACAAAATTTATGTATAGCTTTTGGAATAAATTTTGATATATAATATATACATACATATATATCTGAGTAATACTCATAATATTCGGTACTTCTAAAATAAATGAATTTGTGAGATAACTTTATAATTGGTTACATTTGCTAAGTTTACTATAACTGTTGCTTATAAATTATCAACAAATAGGCAAAAAAAAACTATTAGAATGACAAATATTACTATCGAGAAATGTTTACAATGGATGGTATTGTGTTACAACGATGTCGTTTGAGACGTATCAAATTTCAAAGTGTGTGCCGTGAAGAAGGGTTATTCGTAAGTAAATTTTTGTGTATACTTTTTTTTTTTTTTTTGGCGGTTATGTATGATATTTGTCGTATCTTTCTTCTCATATTTGTTTAGTTTAAAGATTTATGTAGGATATTTCTTTTTTTCTGGACTAAATACATTTCGGGATTCGTTTAATCTTTAACTGATTTCTTATCACATATTTGCTTCATATCTGTTTTTGCTAATGCATATAATCATTTTTCTCTTCCTTTTGGTTCGATTAATTTTTCAACTATTTCATCAAGTTAGTGCATTTCGAACTATCAATGGGGAATAGAAATAAATTGAAGTTTTTTTTTTTTTTTTTTTTTTTTTTTGAATATTTATGTTTATTGATGAATTTTCAAAATTATGCATTTTGAAAAAATCAATTTCTAGCAATATGCTCCTTTCATTCAGTCTTTCGTTATTTAACTTTTTTTTGTTTGTCTATGGAATCAGAATAAGATTCACAGTTTGAGAAGAAAGAAAGCGATTTACATTTTTGGCTTACCTTTATTTTTTTCTCCTTATCAGAAGTATGGGATCGGTAAATTACAACATTCATTTGATAAACGTAGTGATTACACCGTGGATTAGAGTGCTTGCTTTATTTTGTTTAACTAGTGGCATTATATATTTTTTCTTTTTTTGTTTGAGGCGAAGAAGATTTTAAGATTGATGCTCAGAAACTGATGTAATAATAAAATGTAGAAGAATTTACAATGAGCTGGTTTTTTTTAACAAAATAATCTTACTGATCGAAATGATTTTCATCAAAAATTGATCTTACAGCTAAGTCCAAGGTTTTGTTTAAGTACAGTAATATTTGGATAATTTTGAAAAATTGATTAACATTTGTAGATAATTTCGTTTAACTACAGTAAGCTGATTACTATTTTGTGGTATTGCAAAATGCCCGATGTAATGCTTTATTATTTATTGTGGAGAAGCATGAAATTTGTAGTATAACCTGTTGTTTGATATTGATTTTAATTTGTAGTGTTCTGCAGTATAAACAAGATGATGGAAAAGAGTAACATGCTCGCGTTTATATTGATTTATTTGTGTGCACATATTTGAAATTATCCTAGATATATTTTCTATTTTAGTGCCATCACAATAAGTTATGCTTGTTAGTTTCGTTTGTTAGTTTTATGGTTTCTTATTTTACTATTTCGGTTTCAGGTAATTCTTTTATATGCAAATGCTTCTTGTCTCATTTAGATTAAGAATATTTTTTTAACGAAATGTAATTAAATATTCGCGCATTTTCTTGTAGGTTTCTTATGTTAATACTTACTGGAAAACTCATGTATCGTATCGCATTTATGCCTAGAGAAATGGAGTAACTTTCCACGTTTGCAAGTATTGCAGGAAGTATCAAGCAAACCGAAGAGCTGTTTATTTTGATTTTCCGACAAATGAAATTAATGAACTAGAGAAACTAGAAATGTTGAGATAATGACATCGATAGCAGAAGCAGTAACAGCAACAAAAATAAAAGCAACGGTAATGAAGTGCCACGATTGCAATGCACCATTTACAAGTGAATTTGGAAATTGTGCTAGTGGCAATGAATGTTTGGCAAAAGATATTAGTCATAGCGACAAAGATGATCAAAAGAAAGACTGGTGGTGGTGTCGTGATTGTATGGCCACTGTATGCAGGTATTTCTTGTCTCACTCAGATTAAGAACAACCTTTTTTGTTAAAGAATGTGTAATTAGGCATCGGTGCATTACAAATACGAACGGCATTTTTGTTTTAGTAAGAGCAAAAGTGAGGTTAGTGGATAGGAAGAGTGCGATAAGTTAAAAGATTGCCTCTATTGCAAATAAATAGAAAGAATGAATGTGTCATAATCGTTAACCTGATTGGGTTAAAGAGATGCTTTCCTTAAATTCATCAACTGTTTAGGCTAAATAAAGACTTGCAGTAAAATTCGAGTAAATTCATAAATTGTTTAGGCTAAGGATTATTGCAGTGAAAATTGTAAAGGAAATGTCTGACGGTTCAAAAAATAACCCATCATGATAGTGATAGTAATTACTGTTTTTCTTCCTTCTGTTCTTTTTTGCTTTTTATCCTGATCTCATTCCTACGCGCTGATGAAAACCGGAATGATAAGATCCGGCTCGAAATATCTATAAGATCCGGCTCGAAATATCTACCATAGGCCATATAAGAATCTACCGCGTTTCCGCATATTAGTAGAAATTGGCTCACGGCATACGCGTCTGGCTTTGTCTTTTAGGGTGATATATAAAAATGAAATTTACACTTTTCTATCGTAATTCCCGATTTTTGCTGGGAGTACAGGAAAGGACTTTATGCAACAATGACTTTTAGCATTGAAAATATATCGACCCATCGATTTTGTCAATAACTTATATTCTAGTTTTTTTTTATCTCCATTATTTAATAAGTTTACTAAACAAAAATATGTTGAAAAAATCAGTTTTTAGGACCGTATTCAGACGTCATCACAAAACATGCTGTCCAATAGATAACATTAAATATTGTAAATGCAATCGGTACACAGAATCGGGCATAGAAATCAATTTTAGCTGGAAAATAAGTAGGCCTCATGAAAAGTTGTTTGATGCGATCCGCCACTCTTTCATGTGGATGCACTGATAACTGCAAGAAACAATTGAATCAAATATTTCCATCAAAGTCAAATCTTTAATACTAAAATTTTACAAGAACTATATAATTTTAGTGGATGTGGATTATCAGAAATTTTAATTCTTCTTTTTTTCTCAATCCTTTCATTTCTTTGTGTCTGTATTTATTATCTTTATGAAATTTCGATTTTGAACGGTCCCTAGTAGTCACTGTTTGATGACATTTTTGTTTCTAATTTAGACTTAAATCATAGAATCCTTATCAGCTCACCAAATAACAGGTACATTGCTGGGGGTAAATTTGTTGATTTTCAGTGCTTCGTTTATCAATTCTTCGACGTCCTTTTCTTGACATATAGTTCTTCTCTTGAAGACAGTTATCTTGATAAGAAACGAAAGCATATTCTAGAAGTGCTCCAAATACGAATGCTTGACAAGCTGAAATTATATATTCGTCCTTTTCATAAATTTAAATCAAGTTTATTTTTGATGCAATACACTTGGAAAGAATATTTGCATTTTTAGAAGTTTTTTTTTTTGGATTAATGGACTAAAAATTGAATGTTAGCAAGTAAAAATAGGTGATGGCTTACCGCCTAGCCAAACGTCCACCACTTTTACATAGCTTACAGGAGGCAACTTTGCATTAATAGATGACGTCTGAAATGTTTTTTTTTTTTTTTTTTTTTAAGTTTAAAAAGAACGAGTAACAGTTTTCAAATTTTACTAGAATTTTCGCTAACTTTCAGCGTTTAAGTTTATGCGAATGGAAGAAAAAGAACCATTGTTTCTCTCCTTTCCGACTTTAAATTTTAATCCTAAAGACAAAGAGGTTCTATATATTAAGTTTAGGAAACTATGCAATTGCGGAACATATAAATAAAACTGGAAGTTGAATCGAGTTTCAGTATTCAGTCAATAATCATTTAGCGTTGGATTGAAATTTTATCTTAATATCATACCAGTGTTGTCATTGTGAGCAAAGTAGTAACGCCAAGAGCAATACGACCTGCTGTGGAATGTATATCAATCCAGAAACTGACCCAGCTGACAATTACGATCATTGTTGTTGGACCGTATAGCTGGATTAAATAGTAGCTGAAAAGATTTTTTTATGTTAAATGCAATAAGTTAAGAAATAGAGTCTTTCAAATGAGCAATTAATATTAAGGTGTATTAATAAGTCTCTTTGATTTAGTTTGTTTGTCGGAGACTTTTGATAAACGAATGCGAATAAAATAATTATTTCATCGTTGATCTTTCCTAAAGTGTAGCAAATCAATGGTTTTTAAAAGATCCTAAAAAGTGCTATCTTATAGACATAGTGCAAAATATTTCAAATACCTGAACTGACGCGAAAGTTCGAGACGCATCCTTAAGCAAGCATAGGTTCCTGAAGTTTTGGATACAGTTATGAACCTTTTCAGGAATACATAGTGAGAAATTTCTGGTGCTAAGTTTCATTAGACTTTACTAGAGATGGTGACAAAACTTGCCTCTACACTTCGTTATTCTGCGTAAAAGACAAGCAAATAAGACTATCTAAGAATAAAAAAGGATAACTATATGTTTTAGAATCACAAGACCAATGGGAAGAAATTGCTGCTAGTTTATCAAGAATATTTGGCAGCCATACCGCAGCATTCTTTTAGCCATCATGAAACTCGTTGAAAGAGTGACGCATGGTTGTATCAGGTATTGTTCCATTACAAGCTAGAAGAAGTGCTGTAATGATTGACCGGTTAGTTCCGGTTGTACCAAATTATGCGAAAGTAGAAAGCACCTGTATTAGTATGACTGGTACATTCATGATTTGTTTCTATAGCTGTGAGCAGAAAATTAGGCAGATCACTACCAACACCGGGTTTTCTTTGTACTGGTGGTCCTCCTTCTCTTTCCCATTCATATACAATATCCTGAAAATTTAGATTTATTTTTAAATAACGTTTCTGCTCAGCACTTAATGTTTTATTTCTTATTGTGAATTCTAATTTCTATTTTACTATTTTTCTTTTGCTGGCATTATTACCATTATAATTTCTTGTTTGTATAACAAATTATTATTAGTTGTACTACTTTAAAATATAGGAAGTAGAAACTTTATTCAGTAGCATAAAGGTGGAATTTTAGGTGAATAAAACAATTTGTTTTCACTTCATTAAATATATAATATGATTAGCTTTTTTAACAAATTTGTTATACAAACAAGAAATAATTTAAATCAGTTAACCTGGAAGAATTTTACAATTTGATTTTGATTCCTAGTTCTCAATTTAATTTATTCAAAAAAACAGATTTCCTCTCTTTACAAAAAGTATTTGAATATTTGAATTATAGCATTGTAGCATTAATTCAAGAATGATTTTCGAATAAAAGGAAATTATACGGTGACAGTGTGAGCATAGCTAATTAAATCGAAATCGCAATATTGCACATCGAGAGGATAAAGCTGTAGATGCATTGGGCATGATAGTGTTAATGATAATCGTACGCTGTATAATATCTGTCCGTTCGGATATATCCTCAGAAACATATTCTCTGTATCGATGTGATGTCTATGTGCTGCTTTTTCAGTCTGGAATAAATTCTCTGAGATACTTCAACAAAATCTAAAGTAATGATATGAAGAAATATTTATCCAATAGTTTTTTACTTCTCTTTAAATACTCTATTTTAGGTATATCATCATTTAAAAAAAAAAAAGAATTAATGTTTGTTTGTAAAAAAAAAGAAATCTTTTTTTACATCGTTACATACCGGAAAGAATGAATCAGGCATCCAAATATTGTTTTTGATGTAGGGAACTGTAAGGAAGTTGGGCATATTAGTGATATGCATATTTTCATAAGCTAATCTACGATCAAGCCATCTTTCCCTGAATGTTATCTGCATGCTGTATTCCTGCAATTGCAAATAGAATTTTAATTCTGAACAAAATCATGAAAAAGTCAAGCAGTGACTATTCCACTAGAAGGAAATTTCTGAAATTGTAAAAAGTAGTTTTGAATGCTTTGTTAGATATTCCAATCATTTACTTCGAATTCAGTAGTTTTTTGACCTTGAATGTTTCTTAAAGATTGAGAAAAGCTTTTGCTACATATTTTCAATAATTTTTGATAGCAAATTGTTATATATATATATATAACTAGATTTAGTACTTTTAAAATTTAATTATTATCTATTAATTATTATTATTATATCAATATTTTTTCCTCTAATTTATATTAAATTATATCTGCATTTCATTTCCACTTTACAAAAAGCAATTTTAAAAGAAAGAACCTACCATATTCACAACATCGATTTTACTTAACATTCGCAGCATAATGTTTACTTTAACAATAACAGGCCCAACAGATGCTGAAAGATTTGGCCATCGATTATCTTAAATTTAACATATCTGTATCTCGAATTTCAAATCAACCACTCTTTCCGTCTTTCATTGCTTAATAATTGATTAATATGTTTGTATTTGTTCTTTTTTAAGGCTTCAATGAATAGAGTACGAACAACATGGATTGAAAGGTATTTCAACAGATTCGAAATCTTATTTTATAGGAATTTAATTAAAATTCAATGTGTGTCATCATTTTTGAACTCTAGCGTTGGCATCAGGAGTTTTCCAAGTAGGTAGATCTCTCCTCTTCTCATTTTGACACGAAAGATTTTGATTTTTATTGTTCAGCTGGTAGAAAAAAGTTGTGCTTTTGTAAATATCCACATTGTTTACAGAAGAGTTTTTTTTTTTTTTCCTCAACATATTTTTTTTTGGAAATTTTTTCAGAAGATTTTTCTGAATCATGGGAAGAAGCTAAAATAAGAATGCAACCTCCACAACTATGTCGTTTTTTTCTTTTTTTGTTCTACCTAGTGAAGCTATCTCTTTTGTTGGCGAAAATAATTTCATTCAATCGAAGAGGTTTTTTAGAAGTTTTCTTTTTGTATGAAACTGTATGGATCGAGAAAAGTTTGTTATTGTTGGGAAATTTTTCTTTATTCTAATCATCAAAATTACTTATCGAAAGTACTTAATCAGTCTCTTCGTAAAAGGTTAATGATTATAGATCTCCATTAGTTATAGTACAGTGGCTTAATGGAGCTCAAAAAAATGTAGTAGTTCCTTCACAGGAATGTTTAAAAATAAATTCTTTTTCTGTTTAAAAATAAATGCTCTTTAAATCTTTTTCCATATTTTTAAATGGGCTCTAATTATTGTAAAATTTTATAAACCTATCTAAAATGGTTAGAAAAAAAAGATAGTGTAACTTTATAAACCTATTTGAGCATAATAACTTCTTGACATAGAATTATTTTGCAAAAGCAATCAATGGGAATTTAACTATACCTGAATTATTAGTTGGTGGAGGTCGAACGCGTTGATCATAATCTTTGAGAAGCTTTTCAAGAATTAATTGATCATCAGAACTACTATGTATCATTTTTTGAGAGTTATCCAAGTTGACTGTGGTCGGTGTATCAATTCCGTTACCGTTTTTTACTGTTTCTGTCATACAGAACACAATGATAGCTATAATGCCCATCATGAAGATAGCATAGTTTAAGCTGGAAAAAGTGAAATTTTGTACTCATTCATAATATTTTTGTTAATTCGTCAAATAGCTTAAGAAGTAATTTATTGTTTCGCATTATTATGGAAGAATAGCAATTATGAATAGTTGTGAATGATAAAAACTTTGAATATATTGATAAGAATGATAAAAAATTTGAATATATTGATAAGAATGATAAGAAGTTAAAATTTTTCTCTAATTGATGAAGACAAGTGCATTGAGAGAGAGGATATTAAATGAATATATAACCAGTGAAAAGAGTGGTTACCTAGCTAATGTAGTTGTCTATCTTTTGCTTCTGTTTCCACCGTTCCCTATCTTTTCTTCGGTTGTCTTTTTTTTTTGTCATTCAAATAATAATTGACAATGTATCCTTAGCTTTATCAGTAAAGTAAAGTAAGCAGGTTCGTGAACAGTTATTTAAAATAATTAATGCGGGCAGATAAAAATGATATGAAGAATTTAAAATAAATTTTATTGTAGACTATATTAATAAGTGAAGAAGAATTAAGTAAGCAATTCATTAAGTAAATGGGATAAAGACATTAGCAATTAAACAACCGTATTTATAATGAATACTGCTCAAAAATTTAGCATTATTTTTTTATTTTTTATGTGTAACAGTCATTCTGCTACTAACTGAAATTATGATGAGGATGAAATAAGAGCATTTATTGTATTTATTTTGAAATTACTATCCCCAGTGCATCTGCTGATAAAAAGTAAAAAATTAAAGAAGAAATCGTAGGTTTTTTTCGGATTATCCGAAAAATAAAAGTGGAGAAACCAATTAAAATGATAGATAAACTTAAGACATTTGATCAATAATTATATGAAAAAGCAAAACAAAGAGTTTAGCAGTTCTTCACAACTGTTAAGCTGACTAAAAGAACAATTAAAAAATTGAAAACATAATCAGGAAGTGAAGTAGCATCAGATCAAAAAAAAAAAACGCCTTTACAAGAAAACTATTAATGCCGGTTTACAAAGTTATTCATCTGTATCAGTTCTGACATCTATCTTCTAGAATGTTATTTCTGGATTATAGAATTATCTCATAATTAGTGACACTGAGTAAGGATTGAAATCAAAAGACGAGAGTAGGAATTAAAAGAGGATAATAGGCATTGTTCCGTTGAATTAATGATACTAATTCATTCTTCCTTGAAATTAATGTTTCTTTGAAACATTGGTTTTTTTTTTCCTAATTTTACAACAAACTTGAGCATACTAGAAAGATTGCAAGGTAGTAATTAGGTATAAATGAATAAATGATTCGGAATTTATTGTTAATTCAAGTGGATAGTACCATAAAATCGACAAATCTGTAATATAGTAGTTTAGTTTCTGATAATGGTATAAATACTGGATGTTTTGTTGAGCTAATTAATATATGAGATATATATATATGTCTAATTAATATAATGAGCTTTAATATGAGAATAATAAAAAACAAACAAACAAACAAAAAAAAAAAACAATTAGAAAATCTTAAATGCTCACAATTGTAATATTTTAGCAAAAAATGATGAGATGATGTGATGGTAGTTATGAAATTATAAATTTGGCTTAGATTCCATGACAAAGTGATAAGATTTTAGGATACTGTAATGTGTCAGGAGAATTTTTCATTCATTTTAAATTCGTTTAATTTCCACTTTACACATTTCTTTAATAGTTAAGCAAATAGCAGCTAAAGACTGAATAATTAAATGATTTTGGACAAATAAATGTGGATTCGATGTATTATTTTTAGCTTATAAAAGCATTTTTTTTTTTTTTTGCTATTTAGTTACAGTGAATAAAATATGATTTTCAAAGGAAGTACTAGTTTATTTGAGATGCACAGCTTTGGATAGATCATTTAAAGAAGAATTAAAAGCTTATTTTTGAAAAGCGTTTTCTCAGAGATTTTTTTTTTTTTTTTGCCAACAGAAGGAATAAAAATTTCAGAAAGATTTCATATATATATAAATGTATATATTCACCAAAAACAAAGATTAGTGCACGCAATGACATTAGAATAATAAATTCGATTATTATATGTTAATTTTATCATTATTATCATATATTCTGCAGTTTGATTGATTATCAAAAATTGCAATACATGTAAGTGAATTAAAGGTAGCATTTGTTACGTAACAATAATTTAGGATGAGATGAGCATTAAATTACTTCATTTACGATTAAATTGCTGTAGTTTTTTTCGTTAAGTAAAACTTATTTCATTAGCCTTAAAATTTCAAAAGTTGTTGAATATTAAGAGAATGAGTAGCAAAATTTCTCAGTTAAACTGATGAACTGTTTTATAACTGATTGCTACGGTATGAGGAGTTTTATGATTTCTAAGAAATTTCCTAGAATTTTGAACAAATTTGAATGCGATAATAGAAAGTAACATTAGTGATAATTGTGATAAGGATATCGGGTAGTAGTTATTAGTGATAAGGATATCAGGTAGTAGTTATTATAGCGCATCTGTAATAGAGAACAAATTTCTTCTTCTATGCTGACAAAAAAATTTTTTTTTCCTTATCAGGAAGTGATCTATCGTTTGTTACTTTACTTTAGGAACAGTACTTTAGAATTTCAAGAAAAATTCATAGCACTTATAAAATTTATTTTTTTTTTATTGATGAAAAGGTTCATTACAACTAAGAGTTTTACATAGATTAAACTGGCTTCTCGCTTCATTCAAGTTAATTAGGAAAAATTTGTTGATAGCTTTGAGATAAGTTATGGTGATGTTAGCAATTTATTGAAAAGGAAAATATTTATTTGAGCTAAAAGAAATAAGAAGTTGTACTTATGATCGTTTTTTTTTTTTTTGTTTTAGTGCTCACAGAAAGATAGTTTTTATGGGTAGTAGAATAATGAACAGAGTAAAATAAAAAGATTGGAGAAATATGTAAATTTGAATAAATTTAATCAATGGCAAACATTAAATTATACGTCAGTGATTAGTATAATTAACTTATATTTACACTGAATAAAAAAATTCACATATTCTTTCATTACTTTCTTTCTACTTTCCAGAATTGAAATTATATCATAACGCAAATGCAACAACAACAATGCTATAATCAAAATAATAGGGCAAATTATCTTAAAGCATATGAAGGCAGTTAATTGATCTTAATTGTAAATGCTTCCATTTAAGAATGAAGCAGAGTGTTGGATCATAGCATTAAAAGAAAAAGAAATTTTAGTTATATTTAGCTCTCTGTTTAGAGGTGCTAAAATCAATCGATAGATTAGTAATTTAAATCTTGCATATATTTTAAAGATTAAAGAAATCTCCATTCAATTTTCTTTAATGGATATCTTTTTCGAATTGTATATTCAGATTATTAACTTTACAAGAATATTTTATCAGATATGTTGCAGTTTTTACTATTATTTTTACATGAAGATTAAATTAAATTTACACTTCAAAGATAGCTCATTTATGTACAAATAGATTATTTACTTATTAGTCATTTTATTCCTTATAATTTCAATTGGTAAGTATAATTTTCTACCACTTATTTAATGAAGAGTAGATAGAAAAAAAAAAAAAGGAAAAAGGAAAAAGGAAAAAACAAAAAAGGTCTGAAGAATATTAGCACAATCTTGGGTATTAGTATAACAGTGTTAGCACTTCCTCAACCATATTTCAAATAAATAGGATTTTTGGTTGGAAAAGATGGATGGGTGACGGACAGGCCTCTTGTCACATAAAATGATCGTTTATGTCCTGCTGTCGCTAACCATATCCTTTTGCTTTTTTTTCCCCCCCCCCCCAAACTCATCATTTGTGCTTAGTTCACGAAAACATCTGCTTTGCCTCCCGTAAATGTGTTGACAAAAGTACAGATTCTTTTTAATTTCATTGAATAATCACTTAAATAAAGCCTTTAAAATCGGTCTTCATTTTGCTTCCATGATTGCTTAAGCACGGAAAGGGAAGAATGAAAACAAAGAATATATCGTAAATTTTTAGTTGTTAAATAATTATTGTTCACCATTCGGAAGCTTTTTTTTTTTTTTATTCACACTCATTTACAAACATTGGTAATAGTAATGAAACAAAATATCAGAAGCAGTCGAAGTTCTTGTCAAACTGAAATTTCATTTTAACAATAAAGATTCGATATTTAGTTCTGTTATATTTGAGAGGAAGCACTATATTAAATGATAGTTCTACTGAAATCCTGTTCAGTAAGTATCAATGTTCTTATGTTCTTTTAAAGATCAGAGGTAATGGTATATTTAGTAAGAAGGATAGTTTGAAAATCAACATAGCAAAAAAATAACTTGTAATAAGGTCAAAATAGATTTGATAATTTAGTAAGATTGTGATATCTTATTTGCTAAACTGCAATGAATGCAAAATGAAAGTGTAAACTTGTGAATATTACTAGTGACGATGTAACAATGTTAGCATTTAAGCTCTCTATGAAAGAATTGTTCCTTCTTAATTTAGTTCTTCATTTTGTCCCACGAATTTGTACTTTTCTGTTTCATTATATCATCTTTGTTTTAAAACTTTCATCTTCGTTTAGAAGGAAAATATTTGACCACTTTTTTTTTTTTTTGAATAAATTTAATTAACATTTTTTTTTTCTTTTTCGATAGACTTGTTATTTCAACTCTTTACTTTCTATTACAAACCATCTTTTCTTATATATATATATACTGAAAATTACTATATACTAATGTTGGAAATAAAAACACTAAATATATCTACTATTTATTCATCGAATCATTGATGCAGCTAATCATAAATTTTGCTATACATCATAAACAAGTGCTTAGCAAGCCTATTAGACAAGATATCTTAATTTTTTAATTCTAATTCCCTTTTTATTATACCTGACCCTAGACCAGTATGATAGATTAATTCTATGAAACTAATTTTTAAAGAGTAATTTATTCAAATTACAGACAGGTTTATTAAATACCATGTGAAATTTTTGTTTCTTTTTGATTACTAAAAAAAAGCATTGAAAGATGGGTTGTAGAAAAGATAAGAATTATCTAAAGAAAAAAAAAAAAAAAAAAAAAAATCTAAAACTAATTAAAACTTCAAAATGAAGACGAAATTTTAATCAAAAAATTTTGCTCAGCACTTTGTGAATTTCAATTAGAGCCACACAGATGATGATGGTTTTTATAACGGATAGAAAGAATGCTGAATTGAAAGAAGCGAAGAGAAAAATTAAATCTGATACCTCAACCACACAAATTCGAGGCGATGAGTTGGAAAAAATGAAGAGTCAATGAATTGAGGAACAAAAAATGACTCAAAGTCTAAGCTTATATAGTCTAACATTGCTTGCTGCTTTTTTTTTTTTTTAGTTTATAAAAAGTAAATAAGCATTCTTCATCACTGTTCATTATATTTATTTTTTATCGCCAACTCTTCTCATCCTTTCTTCGTTTTCTCATTTTTCCGCTTCTCTGTCTATTCGTTTCTCTATTTACTTTTAAGGATTTACACTTGGTCTCTAAACTTTAGTCTCATTTTTGATCTGAAAATTAGCACAGGAAGACTAAAATTTATCAAATTCATTGGCGTAAAATAAAGCCAAAGTGAATATAAAAAAGGAAAGAATTTTCAAACTTTTTTTTTTTTTTTTTGGAGGGAAGCATCTTAATTACTGTCATCGGTTCGTATTACTGTTAAATTGACTTTTTTTAAAAGAATATTTCTCTGTTAGCAACTCTATTGGATTTATATTCAAATATTTCTCGCGAAAAGTTTTTTCCTAAGAAAATTTAATTTCCAATATTTGAGTCTCAAAAGCAAAATTCTTGTAAACATTACATGAATAATTTTTGAGTATAGGAAGAAGATTATGTTTTCGTAGAGATTCATGCCTTCATGAAATGAACAAGAAAATTGGCTTTAGACTCCCTTTTATATTAGCGCTTTCGAGAATTTGAAAACAGTGGATTACTTGTCAATCTTTCATTTGACCTTATTTTTTGTATATCTGAGTTGTGTTAATCAATTTGATCACTTAATCTTGTTAATATAAGGCAATTTCTTTTAAAATTTCTATGACTTTATTGAGTAATTGAAGTAAAACTATTTCTTCATCTTCTCTACACACTGCTATGCTAATTTGAGATAGAATATTTTGGTATAAAATTTTAAATAAAGTCAAATGAAAATTAATTTCATTTAATGCTTATTGATATTTCTTTAACCAGATTTGAACTGTTTTCTTTTTTAGTGTTTGTCATCTGATGAATGGACATACGGAACATCGAAGTGGTAAATGGAATCGACAAGAGTTATACCGTTCAACAATGCAAGCATTAGAGGGTAGATGCTCTACACGGTCAAATGTTGCCAAAGAATTTGAAATTCAAATACGTGAATTCACTGCTACTGTTCGTATAACTCTTTTCTAGAATAGTTTTTAAACAACAACTATTTTTTTTTTTCGTGAAAAATCAAATTCTGAAATAGAATCGTGTTCATGCATTTATTTGCCATTTGTAATGATCAAGAGTTTTTGGTTTTAGCGCACTTTTTTTTTTTCTGCTAAATCAAATGGGCAATCAATTTAGTGAAGAACTGAAATAGTATGATATCAAATATAATTTATATGAGTTCATAAATATTCAAAATAAATTTCGCTAGTTATAATGATAGATGCACTAAATGGGAAGGAAAAGAGAGAAAAGAATAAATTTAGATAATAAATGATTTTTAAAGATTGCAATATGTTACAACCATTGAAAAAAATTTAAAACTTCTGTTATGGTTATCGAGATGTGTTAAATTTAGATATGAAAAAAAGAAACATTAATAATTCCTACCATATTAGTAATTAGTAAGATGCAGTGGGAAATGTTGTATCTCATTAATGAGACATCCAAAGCATTAAGTTTTTAATTTTTATTTAAATTGCTTTTTCCTAGAAAGTGAACATTCTAATTTTAATTTTAGTTAGAATGTCATTTGGTTGATCTCCTTCGAAAACGTCTTGAAGAACTGAATGAACCGGATCGTTTGCTTATTTCGAGGTTGAACAGAGTTCGTTATTTTCAATTTAATTTATTTCGTAGTGATTGTTTTCTTGTTAATAAGAAGCGGACATGATTTGCCGTCTAATTTGAATCACTAGTCTTCAACTGAAAGTATTGCAGTGTTTGGAGATCAACGAGTTAAGAGTTAAATTTTAATTCATTTTTTATAGTGTATATTGTAACACTTGGAAAAATTTCTCATAAACATTGAGACGGATATAATACTTATATAAAAATTCTATTCAAAATCAATTCAGTTAGTTTTTTGTGAAAAATTACCGAAATTCTAGTTGCTAGATTAGAATAAACATATGTTCTTTAAGTGAACAGCATATCAAAAATATTGGCTTCTCATAGATTATGGGCATCACTTTTCAGATTTCAATTTTGGATTTAGGATACAATAATTCGACGCCATTAGTCAAATAAATTTTTGTATAGTCATTGACTTAAAATATTAGTCTAGTAAGTTTATAATTTAAATCGACTTTTAATGACGAGATTGGCTGCAGCGTGACTTTTTTTGGATCCAGTATCCGTAAAGATTTTCTAAAAGAAATTGACTGTGCTATCAAAGGATCACTTTAAATTTATTACTGGCATAAAATTGAATAAAAAATTTGAAATATTGTTTCAGTAGATGAAATATGATAATCTTAATACGATAATAATAATCCATCCTACAATATCATATTTACGAAGACTGGTTGAAAAAAAAAAAAAAAAACTGATGGAAGATTCTTTTATATATTATTTGTAAAATAGAGAGGACTTATAAAAAATATAATTGAGTCCCTTTGTAACTTATATTCTATTCGGAAATAGAATTCATTCGCAAAATTCGGAATAGAATTTCCGTCTGTTTAGGCTTTATGCGAGTTGGGAGATAGTAATTCGTCGGTGCTCAGTCGACCGCTTTATCATATGTTGTCGCCCACCAGGCCAGCTCATCAAGTTTGGACTATGTGTACCAAGGATCCTGAACGGTTAGTTACGGTTGCTATTTGTTAATTTTATTAACAAATAAATTTTTGTGTAGACATTGACTTAAATTTCAATTTTATCTGCCATATTAATGCCAATTCCAACTTCAAATTGTAAGTATTATTGCTAGATTTTTCTTTTTTTTTTTTAGTTTGAAGGATTTGATTTCTGAAGTTTGTCGTATGGCCAATATTACATGCGATAATGGAGACGTGAGTTATTTTCATTCCTGAAAAATTTTTTTGTTTTGGAGCTTTAATGTTTTTACTAAGTTCTTTGAAGAAGAAGAAGGTAAAAATTTTTCAGTAATTAAAAAGGTAAGCAATGAAAGAAAAGAACAGAAAAATGAGTAGGAAAAAAAAACAATGAAAAGTGAAACATAGGTAATGGAGCAAAAAATTTGCATTTTGAGTTTGTCAAGAAAGTTTACTTTTTTTAGGAACAGAATTCATGTCAAGTAAAATTTAGCGCTGCACTACCATCAGCATGGAGTGCTGCTGACTGTGCTAAATACTTGATTGAAAAAGAAGAAGTAGCAAATGATATACTATCTGAACGACGAGCACGACATTTCGGCAGTTATCGTAGCATGAAAAATGGGTAAATCGTTCTTTTCCAAATCACTGTTCAATCCGAAGTGTCGGTTTAAATTGTATTTGATTCAAGTATCATACAGATTTTGATAGTTTATGAGTAAGAAGAGCTCTTCACCACTTTTTTTTTGCTTGATATAAGGAAAAATTTGCGTTATTATGTTGAGTTAAATTGTGTAGTAGAAATTTGTTCGTTTCTGAAGAAATTAGAAATTTAGGCAAATAATGTATGTTGAAAATTTAGTTGAAATAAAATTCCTTTGAAGAAATAAAGAAGAAAATAGTATTGGTAATCTGTAGTATCTTAAGTCTTTTATAGTTCTATTTTTAGTTGGAAGGAAAATAATTAAAATTTAATTAATTTCACAGTTGTCGAAATATTCCTCTTCTTTTTTAATTTTTATTTTTAGCTTTTCACTGATGAAATCAACATCGCTAACACTGGAACAACGGTCAACATCTTCACTTCCGACACTTGTTTCTTCAGATGCTGCTACAAACCGCTTGAAAGATAATTCATCGATTAGTTTAAGACCATTCAGCGAATTAGCTAAAGAAAAATTGACTTCTGACAAAATATTAAATAGACAGATGTCTGCTGATGATACCAGGACACAAATACCGCTTGAACCAAGTGTTCTTGTAAGTTGTTGAAGTCAAAGAAATTTGCATCTGAATTTTCACACAGTCTGTATTCCATTTATTTAATCTATTTGTATTTCATGTTCTCATTATTTCGACTAATATATTTTTCATTTCTATTTTGATTTATCTTACTTTCCTTTTATCTTTTTCGTTTTATTAACGTAACCATAATTTTATTTTATTGCAGTTTTTTTGTTAAAAAATTTTTTTTATTTTTTAAACTTTGTTCATTTATTTACTTCCTTCATCCAAATCTTTTCGTTTTTGCATTTGAGATTCGTGAAGTGAAGCAGCAGTCACTTCGAAATTCATCTCTCACCGATGAATCAGATTCAGCTTGTGCTTTGAAAGAAGAACCTTTCAAGTAATGTATATTGCTTATTCATTCTTTTCTCATTTATTGTCATCTTCAATTTTTGTTTATCCATTTGATCCATATTTTAAGGCTTTCTAAGATCGAAAAGCAAAAAACGTTCGAGAATCAAACTAAGTAGATGCGAGAATCAACTAAGATTTAGGTTCTATTTTTGTCTTTTGATAATATATTTTCAGTTCGACAAGTCCTTCGGCAACATCTTCTATCCCTGTGTGCCAGACGGATAGCTCATATGATAGTCATGATGTTGGTTTTATCACTAAACTGTTTGATTTTTTAATTTTTTTTATTGTTGTAACAATCATAATGCATTGCATCATATCAGGTTTTGATTTTGAAAGATAAAAAAGAACACATAAATCTACGAAAGAGAGAGGTGAAAATAAAACTTTTTGATTTTACTTTTTGACATTGTTGAATAAAAAGTAGAGATGAACTTTAGGATTGCTTATTTCCTTCTATTCAGTTCTCTTTAATAGTCTTTAGTTCCTTAATTTTTTGAGTGTAACTAAGTCTATCTATGAATTTTATTTTTGGATAATCTTTCACAGTTTTCGAAGAACTTTGATTTTAAAATACCTCTCCTTTTTTTTTTGTTTATTTTATTTTACAGTTACAAGCTCCACTATTTGAGCAGACGATATCTAGTTGTGATCCATCAACGTCAACAACTACTGTTACATTAGGAAATTTGCAAACTGAACGAAGTTTCATGCATTTCGGTGGACGATTGTTTTCACGACCAATTGATATTATATCTTTACCCAATATTTTTACCAAAAAACAACTGCTGGCTGTATCTGATAGTTGTGGAGGTATCTTTTCGAAAAATTATTCATATTATTGATGTATTTTACTTGTTTCTTTTTTCTTTTAGACAAGATTAGTGATTAACAGTGATACACTAGACTTGGACTTCACTTGAAATCTCAAATTTTATTTCAGTGATCTCGGTGTATAATTTCTGTTGTTCTCTTACCAAATCTTTATTTTTGAAACTATGATAATGTTTAAAAAGTTTTTTTTTTTAATTTACACTGTCAGTGCTGTGCTTTAAGATTCGGAAATTTTCATTCCAGGTGTATATATAGTGACATGTAAAGGTGAAGTGTTGCAACATTTGCCAATACGGGACTGTTCGGCATCATCACTGACCATTGATCCGACAAATTGGCATCTTCTAGTTAGCGTGATGCATAGCAAAGGACGAAGCATACATGTATTTGATATTACAGATCGTTTCAAAAAAGTTGAGGTGAAGTTTTCTTTATATAAATTCTGTTTCTTGGAAATATAAATATCTGAGAAAACTTTTTAACAGTTTACGTTTGAAATTTGAAATTCTAAAACCTTTGTCATGTTAACTGGATTTGTCCAATTTTCCTCTGAACTTGTGTGACTATATATATATATATATATATATAGTATTCATTTAATTTCCTTCTTCTTAGGTAATTCCTTGTCCTAGAGAACCAAAGATTGAGTTGAGCAGGACGAGATGGATAACAGTGAGTCCACGTGGTGAATTATTTGCAGTTTCCGGAGACAATCATCGATCAGCAATATGGATGTATAATCAATCCAGAAAGGTTAGCCTTTTTAACATTTTTTGAATGACTATTTTAATGTATTCTTCACTACTTAAAAATTGCCAAAATTCTTCATCTTATCTTCATTTCCTTCTTGAGGGATGGAAGATCTTAAAGGAATCGAGAAAAACTCGATATCAATATCTTCGAGTGGCCGAAGATCAAGCTGAATACAAGTTTGTTTTCGAATTTTTCCTAATGGGAAGAAGAATTTAAAAAACAAATTGGTTCAGAATTCACTAAGATTTTTGGTTATTTTGAAGTTCGTTAATCAATCATATTCTTTTATTTGCATAAAAAGTATGTAGTCTAGCTCAACATATTTCTGGTGACTTGATTGATAACAGAATTGCTTTAGAAGAGTGATGCTTATTGCATTCAAATTTTTTTTTTGATCTTTCTCTTTCTTTAAAATATTAAATGGGTTTATTTTCAGAGCTGTAGTACTACTAACATGTGACGCAGCTCAAAACCGTATATTACTGTTCGTAGTGGATCATACTGGTACATTAATCAACGAATATGATTTAACGAAAACATACAAACTCTATGAATATATAAAAAATCCAGCTAGTGCTGTTGTCGATTCAGTAAGTTAGTACGTATATTATTTATCTGTGTAATAAGTGATACTTCTACATTCTAGCTGCGATTATTTACACAAAATATTCATAAAGCTACTGTTTTGGTTTATTTATCTTTGAATTTGGTAAGTTTGTATGCATTCAATTTTTTTTTTTTCCTTTTTAGCTTGGAAATTTGTTGGTGCTTGACTATGCTACTAGTCGTTTATGGGCATTATTGGGCAGTACGAAAGGAATGCGTCATATAAAAGAAATTGTTATTCCTATCGCATTGGGTCCCCAAGAAGCTCTTGGAATTACTGTTCATGTAAGTTGGTTATTATTTTTTTTTTTTGTATGTGTGAATTGTATCAAAAGTAATTGAGTTCTTCAAAATTACTGGATAATTTATAACTTTTATAGTCCAAATTAGCTAAAGGAACAACGAATATATATGTTATTTTTATTTGTTTTTCAGGATGACTGGATTTACATAACTTGTTTTGCCCGTCGGGAAGTTATTTGCTTGAAGTATTTGATGAATGGCGTATTAGCATCGTCATGTAGCACAAGCACTTTGGGAACGCCGAAATCAGATCGAAGAGCTATTTCGCTACCAAGACCGACAATGAAACCAAATCAAGTTTAATCATTAGCAGAGATATTTTTCTTTTGGATCTTTTATCTCGTTATTTATTGATGTAAAAAGAAGAAAAAAATTTTTCTTAAAAGTCTCTTTAGCACAAATCTAAGTGCAATTGCTGAAAAAGATTTTTGTGTTTAATTCGAAAAATTAAGTTGATAAATTTTTAAAATTCTTGTTTTTAAACCAGTTTCACTGGTAAAAACTTACCATTCATGAATTCATGTAATCCTGTGTAACACACTGCGTGTGGCTAGATTTTATCTACTCAAAATACAACTGTTTTATTTTAGAAGTCATTAATTTTCTGGTTTCAAGAAAATTAAAAAATTCCCATTTGATTTTTTTTTTTTTTTTTTGTGAATAATTTTGCTTAATGAAATAGCAAATTACTGCATTCAAAATAACTTCTCTATATTACTGATCTTTAAAAATGATATATTTGCCGTCTTTTTAACATATGCTCATGGTTTACGTAATGACTGTGATTGTATTCTTTTGGTCCAAAATAAATATGCTGTTTTTGACAAAATGTTGTATTCCCAGTTTATATGCAACTTAGTTGTCTTAAATGTTTATATGTAATGCTTTTTGTTGTTGAAATACTGCTTAGATTAATTTGTGCCTTATTTTTTATATTATTCATCTTACTTTTTATTATCATTGTACATATATCATTACCCTCCCATTTTTGTTAGAAAACAAAAAACTTGGTGAAACATTTTAAAGAAAATCTCATCAATATGAAATTTAAAAATTTTTAACACTTCGAAATTTGTTAATTTTTTTTTTTTTTTTTTTTTTGTTTTGGACAAAATCTTTACTGCTTCATTCCTCTGAAATTGTTACACTTTTTGTATCATTTGTATAAGTTCACTATTGAAACTGTTGAAAGATTATTTTGAAATCTTAATTCCAGTTTATTTCTATGTAAGAATTATACTTTTTGTACATTTATTATTCGAAATTCTGCTAAAACTTTCATATTTGATTAACAAATATCATGTTAGTTATTGTAAATGATCAACGCCTTATCTCAGAATATTTCTTGCCTTCATTTTTTTTTTTTGTTTTCATTAATTTTTTCATTTTTGCTTTGATATCCTGTCACTTCATAGATTTGTAAAAATTATTTCCAATATGTTGCAGATTGAAGCTTTAAATCTTCTACGTAAGGTTTTTTCTTGGAATATGGCTTGACTTTTGATTTTTCTCTTCTCCGTAAAATTTTATCAAATTTAAATATAGTTTTATTTTGATTTTGCTAATTTGTTTAACAAAAATGCTATCCTTTATGAAATAAATTTCAGAAATTGCATAAGAAAGTTAAAAAGTTAAAATTTCTCTTTCTTTAAGAAAACATTTCGTAAATAGGGTAATCAGTGAAAGCAAAAAAAAAAAAAACAAAAAAAATTACCTTACAATTGAAGCCCTAGTTGATTTTATTAAAAACCTTGCTCCTCCTTTTACTTGTAAATTGTCTTCTCTTTTCTTTTTTTTTTTTTTTTTCTTTCATTCTAATATCCGTTCCGCTTCCTTCCAGAGGTTATCACTTATTTCTTTTTTTAACTTTTTTTTTTTTTTCTTTCAAAGGACATCAATTATCATGCTGAAAGAAAATGAATTGTGTCATTTATCTTAGTTTTTCAATAATGAAGTTCTCTTTGCTGGTTTATTTGTGTTTATTATTATTATTATTATTATTATTATTATTATATTATTATTATTGGCAAATTGAATAGAATTCCACATATACATAAATATATTTAAATTAGCAATAGAAATGAATTAAAAGCAAAATTGTCCATTGTTTCCATCGTCTTTTTCACCACTGATTCAGTTCATTGTCGCGAAACGAAATGAGAAAAACTTAAGTTCATAATAGCACTGTTACAATTTATTGCATTTAAAAAATTTTGATAAAATAACAATAACACATATTTCATTATAGTTACTCACTGAACATACAATAACTCATTTAAATTGCATATATTTGAAAAGAAAAAAAAAAAAAAAAAGAGAAAAAAATGTCAAAATATGCTCTGAAATCTTTTGATTCAATTACCATTAGTTTTTTTTTTTTATGAACTTTAAATTAAATTCATAACAATACAGCTTATTTTATTTGAAATCTCTTCCGATGTTTGATGCAAATTAATTCGATTTTCAGATGAAAAAAGAAAGAAGAAAAAATTTCAACAATAAATTTGAAAATAAGTTTGCAGTCAAATTCAAATGCAATCAATCCATATAATGCACTTCTCAACAAAACAAAAGTAAATAACCAGAAGATTACTTTGATCTCAAGGAGATATCAATGTTTCAATTACCATTGGTAATTTATATTATTGTATTTTGTAATTTATTACTCCTCTCTTCCAATATGCAAATTTTACCTTTGCTATTATTTTATGATATTCATCAGGTAAATTTCAAATATTAGTCATTGCCTTTTGAATGTTAAAGGAAAAGTTTTCAGTAAATGTAAAAATAGCTACTTCAATTGATAACATTTGAAATATGAATCATTATCAACATGAATCATTTTGGTAGATAAAATTACTTAACAAAGGATATTATCATCTAATAATGTCACATAATATTTTTTCTAAATCTCTTCTTATTGTCAAAAAAAAAAAAAAAAAATTTGAATTAGTTACAATCAAATGTGTTTCTTTCATTCTTTCTTTTCTCATTTGTTTTGTTTTTGTTGTTATTTTTTTTATTTGTTTAAAAAAAAAAAAAAAAAATGCACAAAATCAATGCTTTATATTATATTCCATTTTTTTTTTCTCTTTTCTTTTTGCATTTAATTGAAGTTTTTTTTTTTTTTTTTCATTTATCAAACTTTATATTGAATGCATTATGCAAAAAAGGAATAGTTAATTTCCTAAATTAATAAATATTTCATTCATAATTAATTGACTTTATCATTACTACAGATAAACCAGACAGGAAATAATTAAATGAAAATTGTGATATTTCAAGTATTCTTCATTCAGTAATAATTTATTTGCTATTGAAAGTGAAAAAGAATGATCCATTAAGTCGTAAAGTTTTTTTCAAAAAAAAGAAAAAAGAAAATGAGAAATTAAAACTTATAGTGTTTGGAACATAAAACATTGTGCATAAATGATTTCATTTCATCTTTTTTCCGCTTTCTTTTCAACTTGCTAAATTTGTTCAAAGTAAAATTTTTTAAAAAATTAATATTACTGTAAAATTAATTTTTGTCTAACCATTAATTATCATTTTTAAACCAGTTTTTTCTCTTTTTTTTTTTTTTTTTTCATAAGTTGAGCTCAACAGAACATTGTACAGTTAATGAATCCTAAAAGAAATGAAATGAGATGTTGATTGTAAGTAGTCTAGTACTATCATCTCAGTTTTATTTTATTTTATTTTTTTTTCACTTCCTCAAAAGTTTATCGTTTCAATGAACAATTAAATTGTTGACTAAATTTTCACATTTTCAAATCCGGTTTCAAATTATGCTTAAAATTTTTTTTTGCATTTTGCTTATCGGAACAAAAATGCGTATGCGTATGTTCAAATCACATTAACATTGGCAACATTTTATAATGTTGTAATAAATTAAATGAAATGATCCAGTTGTTAAAGCATTTCGCAAAACCCAGTTTTATATTTACAGCTTATAGCTAGCTAGCTAACATGGGAGAATGCTTAGCATTGAATAATAATATTTTACAGGTAGGTAAATTTAGCAGGTAATTTTCAATAATCAAAATTCATTTTATCACTTGTTATTGATGATGGAATAGGAGTAATGTTGATTAGTAAAGTTGTGTAATTAATTAATAAATTTGAAAATGTTAGGTTGAGTTTTGTTTGAAATTTTAGTTTCATCTACTTGTTTTTTTTTTTTTTCTTGAGAAAGTCATATTGAAATGATATTTTCTATTTATCCATAATGTCTATTTCGTAGAAAAAAAAAAAGTGAAATATTTCGAAAAAAAAATTTGAAAATTTTAACAATTTAAAAAAATTTTAATTTAAAGATTCTTTCAAATAATTTAATATGTTGCAAAAAAAAAAAAAAAAAAAAAAAAAACCATGACAAATATAATTATTTTCATATTTACACATTTTAATTTAAGTTTAAATGGTAAACAAAGAATAGTAGTAAAATCGTTAACAAGCATATAACACATTGATTGATAGTTAAAGAAATTAGTAGCAAATCAGCAATTTGTAATTAATATTTCTGTTAACTTTTTTATATCCAAAAAGAAATTCAAATTAATAAATAAATTTTATTCATTCTTGCACTATTTGTCATAGCAATTAGTTATAATTCATTAAATTTTCATGCTAATAATTCATGCATTTAACTCTTTCTATTACTTATAATACATTAATTAGTAATTAATTAATTAGTAATTATGATTTCCTTATCATTTGATTATCATAATATTATGTGAAATAAAAGGTAAATATTATTGGCAAATTAATTTTTTATAAAAAGTAATGAATGTAACTAATTGTAAGGAATATCAAATAAAATTTAAATGATATCGTATATTTCATAAATTATTTTTATTCTTCTGTCGTTGTCATTTTATTATTATTATTATTATTATTCAAACAACTGATTAATTGATAGTTAATTCTGATGTATAATACCGGAAAAACTGAACAATTTTGTTTTACTTTAGCAAAGTAGCTAATTGTTACTGTTTTATCACATTTACGATGAGATCACGTACAAAGTGTTTTCCGTTTGACGTAACTTTCGCTTGACGTAACCTTTCTGTTTGCTTAATTCTCTATTTTCATATGTATTTGTGCATTTTTTTTTCACCGTCAACCATTTCACTTAAATTTATCATTTCAGTAATTCCATAATAATTTCATTTTCCGGTTTACAAAAAAAAAAAAAAAAGGTAGGAAAGCAAATGATTACAGTATCTTTTAACAATTGATAATATCAGTGATAATTTTAGCAAGGATACTTTATTCCATACTTTATATTCAGTAATTCTTTT